GGTCACTGAGATCATTCTGCTGCACGAGTGCATTGCCCAGGTTGCCAGCTGCCAGACTGATCATGGAGTAGTCACTGGTCCTCACGGCTGACTCATACTGCTTGCTGAAGTACACACTGGCCTTGCTGGGATTGCCCATACTTTCGTAGATTGAACCCAACGCACCGGCAACCGTGCTGATGCCTACCTCATGCATGATACTCTCGGCGTACTCAAGTGCTTCCGTGTAGCTTCTTACGGACAAGTCCATCTTGTTTAGATCACGGTAACAAGCGGCAATCTTGTTCAGCGCCTTCATCATGATGTTGTCCCGGTCTCTCTCGACTCTCAGCTCTTTACCAACGTCGAATGCCTTCTGGAAGATGCTCAAAGCCTTTTGTGGATCACGTGTGCGTAGCTTGATCTCGCCTCGGCCGAGATGTGTTTCGCACGTGTAGAACATAGCATCAGAGCTGTTATCGCTGCTCAGTTCCGCCAGGATGTCTTCGTAGGACTGCAGAGAGTCAGCGTAGCGTTGCAGTATGGTCTCGCACTGTGCAATGGTCAGCCGAGCCGAGTAGTAGAGCGCACTGTCGCCACGCGTTGCACTCACGATGTGACGCATGTACTCGCATGCCTTCTTAGAGTGCAAGTGCACTTCTTCCGAGCTGGCCTGGCCGCTGTGCGATGCCTTGGACAGCGAGACGCGCATGTGTGCCAAACCGAGCTGATACAAGCACTTGATGACATCCTGGTATTTGGCGTTGAACTGCCGCCCAACGCCCTTGAGCACTGCATCCAGCGAGGACATGTCGCTAGTCTGCATTAGCTCAGACGTAACGCCAGTGGTGCAGGCAGCTTCTTGCACCACATCACGATTTCCAACAGTGGCATTACTCTGCGCCGCAAGGCTCAGGTCTTTAGCTATGCTCATCAGCACGATGGCAAGTGATGGCATGCTCAGAACTTCAGCATCCTCTTGTGGCCGGTAAGATCGCAAACGTTCCTGTTCATCTGGGCAAGGTGAAAAGGAAGAACATTAAAAAGGTTACGCACTGCCAACAGCACTTTGCCTGTATGTGGAAGTATAGAATCAGAGGATGCCGCTGTGCTGTCTGCACACTGATCGTGTTCACGGCAACATGCTTACAAAGTTATAATAGGTCAAGAGCAGAGACCATCTACCATGTATCCCGGTTATTTTGTTTCTACCACTGTCCTACAAACTGGCCTGCGATTCAAAATAACAAACACGGATTCGTGCGCCTGTTCCATTTCACAAAAAAACGTCACGGAGATAGTGACAAGTCGATGAGTCGAAGCACACGTTCAGGCAGACCAATGCGGCTCGGCACATCCCATTCCCATGGTTTGAAGAGTCTGTGTGTTTGCCATCTTCAGCAGATCTACCCACAAGAAACACGAAGTAGGGGAACACCCAGGATGAAAGTTTAATTTAGAAAAGGTCCCATCTTTAGAGTCCCTAGCTTGAGCGACGTGGAGCCATGGCCAGGATATACAGGAAACCAAAGCTGTAAAGCCGGCACCCGGAGGCCACCGAGCCGTGTTGCTAACCGCCCGTATTTTCCCATATTTTTTTTACAGAAAAACGAAGTTTTGTCCGCAGTACGGATTTCAATAGAATTATCCCGCAAAAGCGAAAAAAAGTACGGTGTCTTCGAAAGCAGTGAAAAATGGTGCAGAAGACGCCTATCCACGTGTCCACGATCGATCAATCCAAAATCTGATTGCAGAGTGCATGCAGCCTGCACCCCGTAGTGCGCTGTACATGTGCACATACGACGGTGCCAACCTGTCGCCAAAAACGGGTGTGTGCAGTCCTGAATGGGTCACCATGCTGCGCAAACTACCCTGACCACCACCCGTTTGGTGTGACTTGTGCCGCAGTGTGCCCTTTTCAGAGCTTGTAGAGCGCCGCACATTGAAGAGCTCGCAGGTCGTCGTTTTCGATCGAGCATTGTGCTTCGTGTTCAATGTCAGTCTTGGCCAGATCAACGAAGTGGACACGCTGTGTGGACAGGAAATGGTAGGGATTTCAGTTATGACAGTGTTTGTTCGTTTCTGTTATTCGAATTTGTTTAGAGCACAGGCAATTCTGCCTTCTCAACAGAGGAAAAAACCTCCGGTTCCTACTAAGAACGAATAACATATTATGAGAGAGGGAAATATTAAAAAGAATCATAAAATGAGAATTCCAAAGTATAGAATTCAATGGGTGTGTGTACATGTAAGCAGTGCAGAACACATAGGGATAACATGCAGTAATGTGTATGATGAATGGGGGGGGGGGGGGGGGGGTTATTGCGTGCACACTGCTTTTAAAAGTATAAAGATGAGGGATGAATGTCAAGCAAAGTGGTACCCATGAAGGAAGTCATGCCGAGCAAGGAAGGAGCGCGTTTAACATTGGTTACAAATTACAATCAATTCTGTCCAGAGCCAGCTTAAAGGCACAAGCCGCATTGTGGACTGAGGCGAATATCACTGGGAAGGGCATTCTAAAGAGTGCTTCCTACAAATGTCAATGACTAACGACCAGAAGGTTCAGGAAGGAAAGGCACTTGCAGCAGCCGCTGTTCCTGTCCTCGAGTAATTCGGCGATCATCCCGGGATGCGTGGCCTGTATTAGCCGTCAACTGAAAGTAGGTGCAGAAAAGAGGACTTGCAAGATCATGTAGGCAACGGAAAACAAAAAAACAGAATCTTGTAGTGAAAAATGTGAGTTAGGGATCGAATAGATAATCTTATGAGAAGGGGAGCTGTGGATGCACGCCTGGAGAGCCGGAAAATTGCACAAATGCCGGATTTGCTGGATTTGATTAGACGACTCTGCAACTGCTGTGTCAGCGACGGGAAGAATGCATTGGATGCTTATGTTAGTCGTGCTTGCACAATGCCAATGTACTAAAGTCTGCGGGCTCTTATGGGCAGAGATTGCCCATGGCGCCATAGCTGGCTGATGGCGACTGACACCTTCCGCACAACATTTGAAATATGCGGCTGCCAGGACAGCTGATCGTCAATTTATGGCTTGATCCTTACATTTCACGACTGGTATGTTGCCAGTGAGTCCCCGAGGTCGAATTACCATGACTTGGGTTTTGCCGGTATTCAGCAGAAGCCCAATATCGGACAGCCAGTCAGACAGACGTGTCACAATCATGGTCAAAGTCCGGCAAACAGTGTCCAGATCTGAATCAGAAAAATCTAGGATGATGTCGTCCGCGAACTCCTGATGAACAACAATGCAAGGTATGACGCCGGAAATGTCACTTGTGTAAAGGACAAAGAGAAGCGGCCCCAGAACACTGCCTTGGGGAACACCTCTTGAGCATGGGACCGCACCAGAGAGAACATCACACACCTTGGCGCGCTGAGAACGACCAGACAGATAGCTAGCCAGCCATGACAATACTGTGCCATTGACTCCCAAGGCGAACAATTTATCAATCAGACATTGATGTTGAACACCATCGAACGCTTTTGACATGTCAACCATCACAATACCCGCGTATTTACGCTCTTGTTTGGCCAACAGCCAACAGTTGGTGGCTAGAACTAATTCATCTTCCGTAGAGTACATTTTCCTGTAGGCAAACTGACTGCTAGGTAAAATGCTATGTTGCGTGAGGTATGCTGTGAGCTGCTTCTTTACGAAGAACTCCAAGATCCGGGACAGAATAGGGAGCAATGACACTGGTCTATAGTTAGTAGGGGATGTTGCATCGCCACTCTTGAACAGTGGACTAATGTGCGATGTTTTAAAACATGCTGGCACAGTACCGGATGTCAAGGATGCATTGACTATAGTGGTAAACGGAGGTGCCAAGATGTCTGAACACTGCTGCAGTACAATTCCAGGAATGTTGTCACTCCCAGATGCTTTGTGAGGACTCCAAGTTTGCAAGCATTTTGCAACATCAGACACGCTTACCGGTTGAAATGTTGAGAGGCTACACGCAGAGGCTGGACCACGTGGTATATGAAGCAAAGGTGGCCGCATGGGGTCATGCACAATGTCTCCGAACAGTTTACTGAGTGCCTCAAGCGGTGCTTCAGGTTCTTTCCTTGTCTTCCGTCGGCCTGTGATATCGTTCATGACAGCCCAGAGTTGCCGTTGATCCGATGTGTCACATCTCTCAGTGATATACAAGTTGCGCAGACTCCTGTCCAACTTCCGTGCTTTGAAGCGAGCTGATCGATGGGCTTCTTGAAGGTTCTGATCGGTTTTGTCTCGGAGCCAGAGACGATGTGCCCGGTTCCGTTCCCAAACACTTGCCACTAGCTCATCTTTGATCCATGGGCAAGGACGCCAAGATTTGCGGCGCCGTTCGCGAAGTGGAGCATGGGTGTCCAGAGTGGTCTGGATTCCCTCAGTGAGTGATGGCGCAAGCACGTCCACACAAACAGAGGCACAGGTAGTTAGTGTCTTCTCCAGATCACATTTAAAAACATTCCAATCCACTTTGTGCAAACAACGAGTCTTGCACAGACGCTGTCCCGCCAAGTGGTGACTGGCTGAAATAGGCAGCCTGGCAAGTACTGCGGAGTGGTCACTGATGTCCAGATGTACAGTCTCGCAAACACCCTGGATCGGGGTGGTAGACAAAAATAGATCCAGTAGTGTGGCAGTACTGCTCGTCACTCGGGTGGGAGATGTGACATGGTTCCGATTAAACTGGTTGAGTACATGATGCAAAGTAGTCACAGGATGGGCATCCTTGAAGTTTACGTTGAAGTCTCCTACTAGCACAGTTGTGGTCTGCGGTCCACTGCAGACAGTCTCTAGTGTGACAGTGTGTAGTCGTAAGCATGGATTCTGACGAGGAACCTAGGCGAGAAGCTGGTCCTCCTGGATTGAACAAAAAGCCGAAAAAAGCGGCTGCTTGCTTCAAAGAGTCGTGGTCGCTACCGCCAGGAATAACGAAGAGCAAGAAGGGAATTCACTTCACTTTCTGCAAGCACTGCAACAGTGATTTCAGCGTTGGATATGGAGGTTTCAATGATGTCAACAGGCATGTCAAATCGCAGTTGCACGAGAGAATTCCAAGGTCGTTGCTGGCAATTTATCTCTTCAATTGTTCACTTCTTCTGTGAGTGACAGTCTGGCGACTAAAGTGATGACAGCGGAAACAACCGTAGCAAATTTCATAATGTCAACACAACCTACCTTTCTTAGCTGCTGATCATCTCTCAGATTTGCTGACTGGAGTGTTCACGGGGGACTCGAAAACAGCCGCACAATACCAGTGCAAGCGAACCAAGACGGCTGCTATGCTGCTATAATAACGCATGCCTTGGAGCCTCACTACCGTGAAGCTGCTTTGAAGACTACCAAAGACATCTTTCTCAGCCTTCTCTGTGATGAGTCGAATGAACGTGACGCTGCAGAGAAGCTTTTGACAGTTTTGCTCCGTTTGTTTGACCGCGAGGAAGGAAAAGTCGTGACCCGTCATCTTGAAACAGTCGGTGTGACAGACTTCACTGATGTTGGCATCTTCACAGCCTTGAAGACCTGCTTGGTAATCCATGGCTTGAGCTTTGACCGCATGATATTGTTTGCCTTGGATACATGCAATGTAATTAAAAGGCCCCAGAAATGGAGTAAATCGCCAAGCTGCGTGGAGAGCAGGCGAAGGTCATCGACATGCATTGCAGCTGTCATGTTCTTAACTTGTGTGTGAAGGCTGCTGGGAAAACCATTCAAGGTGGATGAGCTGCTGGTAGACATTTACTATCACTTCCAATTAGGGGTGAAACGATTCGGGTAAGGAACCGGTTTTGGAACCGCCAGCTGAAAATAATCGGGTACCCGTTCCGTCAAATTTTGAACCGAAACTCTAAAAATCTCGTTCTCCTACAAATACATGTGCACGTCAAGTCTACTCAAGATTTAAAAATGTCTAACCTAACGATCACCGCCCTTCCAAAGGGTTTCTCCTGGTTATTATCTTCTTCGCACATTGACTCTCCGATGTCTCGTTCTTGCTCGT